TTTAATTGCATCAGTTGTAAAATCTTCTCTATTCCTGACTTTCTTTCTCTACCATTGTTGTTTCTAAAACTCCTTGTTTTATAATTTCTTTTTTTTTCTTTGGTTTTCCTTGATTTTATTCCTAGTACCATACATTTTGTTTTTATTTAATAAATCTTCTTCCCCGCCAGATATGAAATTTTTAGATAATGAAATCTTCCCGCCGTCAAAAACAAAAAATTTTCGATTTGTTACAAATACATTTTTCTACACAAATATAAATTATCAAAAATAAAAATATTTATAAAATGTTCAATCCAATGTCAATAAAAATGTTAAATGAAGTTGTTATATCTTGTTGAATAACTTGTACATATCAATAAAAATCAATATCATAGAAATGGCATAAAAATCCAAAAATAATTTTAATTCGACCAATAAACTCTCAACCGCCTGTGAATTTCTTTTCCAATTGCCTTCCTTCTCAAATGCAACTATTACTTTTTTAATTTCCCCATGCGTTGGGAAGCCAGTTATTATGAATTGCAAATTATGGCCCTTATGATGTTTGTCGGTCAGATAGCCAAGCGGGCTGGGCGGCTGGATGCTCATTCGCTTCACTGCGAGAGATGTCAGTTCGATCCCCAGCTCGGTGTACAGAAAACAAAAAGGCTAACGCAGCAATTTAAAATTCTAAATGAATCTGCGGCTTAGTCTAGAATATGCCGGTATCTGATCGGCCTATGGTGGAGCAGTACGGCAAGAGATAAGGGCTTGCGGCTCGGTGATACTCCTCTATAGATTCCTACCGGAAGGGCGTGTGCCGCCTAAATACCGGGTATATATATATATATATATATATATATATATATATATATATATATATATATATATATAATGTTTTTTAAACTTTAATTTACCTTAAGCTTAATTTTGCAAACAAATAAATTTCCCTTAATAAATTTTTAATCTCAGGGCTATTTTTATCGTTAATTTTTCTTCGTGGCTTCGAAGCAATATCTATGCTATTTGCTTTTGAGGGAAAGATGAACAATGGGAAAATAAATAAATTTGGGATAATAAATTATCAAACAATTTTTGAAATTTACATTCAATTTTATTAAATCAGATAAATATCTAATTAAACCAAAAATATAATATATGCTATTGTAACGAAATATTTTTTGGGCAAGTCAATGGCAAAGGGGTTTGGATTGGGGCAACTACAAAAAATGAAATAAAGGGGTCTTTAATCTCTTGGAACAAACAAAGCAAAAAGAAACAGGAAACACCTCTAGTAATTTAATATAGTGCGCCATTTGAGGTGCCTAATTATACATATTACAAACACTAGTTGTAACTAGGGAAATAATTATAAAACATCAAAAACATCTTTTTCAAATAAAACTCAAAAAAAGGGTTAGTTAAAAAAATAAAAAAAATTTAAGAAAACAAAATTTAACATTTATTGTGTCTTACCACAAATAGTTACAAAACATAGAGAATACACGAATACTCAAAAAAGACAATACAAAAATATTACCACAATAGTCGCAAAATACAAAAATACAAAAAAACTTACATGTTCATCGGTTTACAAAGAAGATTGCTACAAATCTTTCAAAATGGCTTAGAGGTTAACTTTCTTTAAAAATAAAATAAACTAAAATCAAAAAATAATAAAACGTGCTGTCATAAGTTAACAATAAATTAAAAAAAAAACTGAACACACAAATTGACAGCTAAAGTCAAACTCTAAAATTTTATAATTTATTAGTTATTATAAATCCTTTAAATTACAATGAAAGCAATTATTGCTATTTAAAATAAAAGCTATTTTACTATAAACACATAATGTTACCTTTTAATTCACAAACTTTGCCATTTAACTTTGAAAAACTTGCTACTATCTCTGGGATTGGAGCTACAAGGACGAAACTCTTAACTGGAACAAAAGGAAACCATTTCCATACTCAGGAACTAAGATCTGACGTAGATGGGGTTGGATCAAGCAGGCAAACGAGAACCAAGCTGGTGAGACATCTTATATACTGCTTCAAAATTCTACCATGTTCTGGTATACTGCACAATTTATTTTCCACTTCTACACATTTCCACAACAAGGGAGCCAAAACAGAAAACTACAAATTCGACGGTGAATTTGGATTCATAATGAGCCTTCAGCGACCCAAGTAAGAATTAATCCACACCTGGGCTTACCGTGACCCAAGTAAGAATGACGAAATTCTCTTCTCGAAGAATTCGTTCACTTAACTTTAAAATAAACAAACGCTAAAATAACAAAACACAACGAAAATTAAAACGTAAAAGATTCCATTTCTACGACCTACAAAAATTATAAGGCGACTTCGAATAAAACATTAAAAGAAATTGCCGAAGTACACATCTTTAAAATAATAAACAACTCTAAAATATTACTTGGCAACGCTAAAATGATTGAAAACACTTTTGGGTATTTTGACTTGAAAGATACGAACTCACAAAAATGGAAAAATGCTTCTTTTTTTAAAATATATATATATATATATATATATATATATATATATATATATATATATATATATATATATTCTTCTCCAAGAAATTAACGCACCACTTTGAAATATAATAATTTTTTGTTAACGTTAATAAAAATTTCCATTGTAATGTTGTATTTTGCAAGCCCATTGTATATGATATTCGTACACTCTATATTTATTGACTATGTTTTATTGCTATAGTTTTTTTGCAACCAACCAAAAAGAAGCAAAAAATGTACTAATTCTATAAATATACTAATTTCCAAGTGTTCACGAATTTTATTCGGCTACTGTTTAATTGTTGACTATTGTTAATTGTGTTTATTATGGAGCGTCAATCACGTAATTTAACCCGAGATGAATGTGCTCAAGCAGTGATACTGCCGGAAGAAGGTTGGAGTTACCGAAGAATTGGTCGTCGGTTTAATTGTCCCACACATCCGTCTCATGGGTGTTAGAAAGATTCCGTGAAACAGGGGATCATACTCGCAGACCAGGGCAAGGATGAAACCGGGTAACTACCCCTATTCAAGATCGATTTTTAAGATTTTCTGCTCTTCGACAACATTTTGTAACACATCGAACTCTACAAATTCAGCTTTGAGACGTGGATGCTATACAAATTAGTACTGAAACTGTTTGCTAGCGACTTAGGGAATACAACTTAACAGCTAGGATTTCCGCCCGAGGTCCTCTATTAACTGCAGAGCATCGAAGGGGGAGACTACATTTTACCAGACAACACGTTAATTGGTTAGAGGCTGACTGGAAACGAGTGCTATTTACTGATGAATCCCGATTTTGTTTGTACAATAACGACAGACGTGTTCGTATGTTGCGACGACTCAACGAACGATATGCTCAGTGTAACTTCTCAACATTTTTGTTGAGTGTTTTTGGTGTAGGATCTGTTATGGTGTGGGGTGGTATTTCTTTAACCGCACGTACGGACCTAGTGGTCATACAAAATGGAACTGTTACAGCTGAAAAGTACATATTGGAGATCCTGGAGCAACATGTAGTACTATTCGCTCCTTATATCGGTGAAAATTTCTTACTAATGCAAGATAATGCCAGACCTCACGCTGCACAGGTCGTCATAAATTATCTAGAAGAGGTAGAAATTAATACTATAGAATGTCCAGAGTAGCCCCGATTTAAATCCGATTGAAAATATTTGGGATATTATTGGTAGGCGATTAAGAGCGACACCGATCCAACCAAACAACTTACAGGAAGTGGGGGAGAGGCTGATCCAGATTTGGAGAGAACTAGACCAAAATGAAATACGGCAATTAATTTTAAGTATGGGCCAACGATGTTAGGCTGTTATACGTAGTAGAGGTGGAAACACTCGTTATTAAGACTTTTTCATATTTTAGTTTACTTTTTTTATCATTATTTCTTTTAGAATTTTCCTTTTTATTTTTTTTTTCTCCTGTACTTCAACATTTTCTAATGATTAGACAAATTGTTATAATTACTAATAAAATGTAGAATAAATCTGGTGAAGTTTTATTTTTTATTCTTTGCCTGTTTACAAATAAAATTGATTAATTGAAGTGGTGCGTTAATTTCTTGGAGAAGTGTATTTCAAAGAATCAATGAATTGCAAATTCTACACTATACGTACAATTAAACTTAAACTTGATACTGCACTGATCACTACGACTGGGAACATAGGACCATTCATTCATTTATACCGTTGATGGTGACGTGAGATAGGTGGGGGTTAGGGTGGGTACTGGCGCGTAGTTACTGGTAGTTGACGTAAACATTTCCTACAGTGGGATTTAGATTCGAGAATGGAGGGGACGATATCCAGAACCATAGCCCCTATCCGCTTCTATAAACCAAGAATTATCCGAGAAGCCATAGAAATAGAAAAAAGGCCAAATTGTCTTAATAAAAGAGATGACGCCGGTTACCTTCTACATGGAGACCTCTTATAAAGAAAATATCGTAAAGTTTTAATTGTACTAACCGCGAAAATCTTTTCCGAACATATATATATATATATATATATATATATATATATATATATATATATATATATATATATATGTGTGTGTGTGTGTGTGTGTGTGTGTGTGTGTGTGTGTGTGTGTGTGTGTATGTATGTATAGGTAATGGATTTTGGGAACAGCTATGACTTTGAACATTTCACATAAACTTGTGTACTAAATAGGCATAATGCATAGCTCTTGTCAAAATCCAATACATTAATAATATAATTAAATATCTTCGATTCTAAAATATTGTAAAAGACTTTTAAGAGTCTGAGTAAGAAAAGAGATATTTAGTTATATTCTTTGTGGCATTTTCAAGGTCATAGCTGTTCCCAAAATCCATTACCTCTATCTAGATACACATCAACAATTTGCGATTAAAAAATTATCGGTATTTACTTCCTTTGTTTATGATACTTTTGTTATTTATTTATCAAATTTAAAAATGTTCATTTCTTATTTATTATTTTAGGTCTTCAAGAATTTGACTCGCTTAACAGTTCAGAAATCAATGACTTTCGTTTCAAAATGAGACGAATGGGGGACGAACTAGCCCAACATAGATCAAAGCAAACCTGGGTAGATCGATTGAAGTATCAGTTTCCACCTAGACTTTTACATGAGAGTTATGTATTAGAACAAGCAATCAAGAGACATATAAAAATTGCAACGAAGTTTGATCACGAATACGATTTTTATGAAAAGAAAAACGAGAAGGAGATCATGCAAAGTAGTTACACGTTTAATGTACCAGCTGTTATAAAGCCCAAAAAACTATTAGAAATGTTTTTGGCCAAAAGAGCTACGACGTTAAATATTCGAAATGAAAGAGTTAGTGAATATGTTTTGAAAGTTTGTGGACAGGACGAATTTCTAATAGGAGATAATAAAATTATTGAGTTTCAGTATGTCCAGGATTGTATTTCTAGAAATATTATGCCTACCTTAATCACTTTACATATAGATAAAGTACCAGGTATGTATTGTAATATATTTAAATAATTGTAATATATTTTATTGTAAATTCGTATTAGTTATTCAAGAATGAAGTGAATTATACTATCATCATTTATATATCATACAGTTAATATGAATTTCAAACCACATCCCCGTTAGTTGATAAAGTAACAAATGACTTTCGATGAATGAATTTTGATTTTTTCTTATCATCTTTTAGATATCTGTTATATCGTGTTTTTCTTTGTTTATACATTTATTCTTCTGCTCTATATTTCGTTTCGTCTTATTTCATTTTGTTTGTCATATATTTATTTGTTTGTCTTTTTTTTTTGGTATTTTTAAACTGAAGTAAGAAGGACGTGCATTAACTCATCCCTGAGATTAAAATTGCCAATTTGGTTAATCTCCTACCTGAAGAAACATACATCAATTCGTCCCCGAAAATGGCAGGTAAATAAAATAGATTCATGAACTCGTCCTTGGAAAATTATGTGGTATTTCTACGGGTTCTCTGGTTATACAAATTAAAATATGCATATTTTTTATATAGGTACCTTTTAATTCATTAATATTTTACATAACCATGTACACTCACCAATTCTATGTTGAAAAGTATGTAGAAATTAAAAATACTCAAAAGTATACAAAAAATATTGACTATATTACTAATTATGTACATACAACGAGTATTTTAACGTTTATAAAACTATGCTATACACTTTACAAAATCAAATCTTAAAATAGATCCATGTTTATATTCGTCTATTTTTTTAACTATACACTGCTTACCTCTTCGCACAGTTAGGTCACGTATTCTTGAATTTTCACACAAATAACTTTACATTTTTATATAAGTGGCTGTTTGAAATTATTTTAAAACTTCAAGAAAATGAAAAATTGACGGATGTACCGAATAGAAACTGACATTAAATTTAGCATGGAAAGATTCACATGCATTTGTGCTTCTTTCTATACTATTGCTGAGTTCATCCCATAAACAAGGTGGAAATAGTCAGCAAATAATTGTAGACGTTCATTTTCGGGTTGTATTTCCGAAAAATCGAAAGCAAAACAATCTCGTACTTTCGATGAATGCTAGAATGGTAAACCAAATATATATCGTAGCCATTTTCCAATTTCACTGTTTTCGTTCCTGTAATCAGGAACGAGCGAGGCCCAGATTTAAAATTTTCAGAATCATGCTTGTGTCAAATGAAACCCGCAGCCTACTATTATGAAATTTGGGAACACTTTTCTTGTGGCATTGTGAATGGCTATTTCAAAGTCTGTAAAAATAATTTCTGGGTTTAGATTAAATTTCAAACTTAGCATTTAATTTTCAAAAGTTTAAAAATATTTTTATAAGAACATTTCTTTTTATTTGGTAATAAACAAAATGCAAGTGGAATATAATATCCACTTTCCAATGTAAGCAGTGTTAACAACTGTAAGAAATGATCTGGAGAGTAGCTGAATATACCATCGATATATAATTTGCTACTTTGCAAAGAAGGGTAACTTTTGTTAGATACGAAAATACGATAATTTCTTCAATATCGTCGGTAATGAAAACAAAGTTGTCATCTTTTATTATCTTAGTACCTTAAAACCGGTTTAGGGATTTTCTTCTGTTCTTATTAATAGTTATACAAATATAGTGAATGTCGTTGACTGTACTGGGCAGGATTTTCTCTTAAAACAGAATGTATTACCTTGCAAGGCTTCTCTCTAATGTCATCGGTTACTTTACGTTAAAAACCAACATTCACTGTCTGTCTATTTAGCTTTTCATGGCTACGTTTTTTTCACTGCGCATAATCACAGAAGCGAATCGCACATCTCTATCACACTTCATCATTTTTAACTCTTTATGTCTTGTAAATTTCTGATATTCTACTATTAAATAGGTTTTCCACGTTCACTAAAATTTTTAGAGCATTTCATGTTGTGCTTGCAAGTAGTTATTACAAAATGAAAGTGAAAATAAATTTGAACTTTCTTAAACTTAAGTTGGGTTTCCCAGAAATTATAATCCCCTAATCTGGATAGTTGACTGGTGTCATTAAAGTATCGTAATTAGCATCGTACAAATTAAGGGTAGGATTATCTTATAGAAGTAAAAGTATTGTACCTGCTCGGGGACAATCATCATGTGAGAAATCTTCATCGTTGAATTTAAAATGTATATACCCATAATGTGTTCATGTAATGCAAACAAACTTTAAAATATATTTTAATACAAATATTTTAGAATAGATATGGCAATATAATTTATTTTTTGTTGTAGTATTCAAGTCTAACGATTACGAAAGTTTGGAAATTTTTGAAAATAAGAAATTCAATTCGGCTGGATTTGGTTCAACTAATACGTTACGAAAAAAAAAGAATAGTATTTCTTCCTGGTCTATACAGGACAATTACTTAGTTAAAATATGTACAGTGTGTAAATTAAATTGTGATCTTAAGAAAACATCCGAGGTAAGAAACAAAAAAAAATAGTATATTTATATCGAATTACAACACTATCAATTGATTGCAATAAAAATTACATTTTACATTTGTTTTCGACGTTTCGATTTCCACTCCGGAAAAAAGATTTTTTTTAAATAAGAAGCCGTTATTATCTATAGTTGTTTTGGCGGTTTTGTTTGCCAAATTTGACGAGTGACATACTTGGTCTAAGCTTGTATGCAAATATTTATGGTTTTAGTTGAAAATTCTAAGGAATGGTGTTTTTACCCCAGGGATGTTTAAGTATTACGTATGCAGATTTATTATTATTAACTCGCCATCCTCTTAAAGCTCTTACCCCCTCCTCCCATGTTACGTAAACATTTTTATTGCGTCAGTATTGAGATTTTTTAAAACTTTTTAACAATTTTTGGTTTTCTTTAACAATCTTGGATTTGTCTATTTGAAACGACATAATAATAAAACTATTCAACTTTGTCCTTAGTGGATCAACGGGTAACAAACACATTAATTTGCTTTGCTTTACTTACAAACGAAAAATAATTTGAAGAAATTTAGACGAGTGAATACCGCTGGATAACTCATTTCCTTGGTTCCAACTTGGTACCTCAACGAGTACATAATTTGTGGTAATCCCCAAAAATGCGTTTCGTTTTCAAACAGAGAATGTGTGGGTTGCAATATAAGTAAAAAAAGTAAATAATTACTACGGACATAATCACCACTCGGTCATCAAAAATAAGTAAAGCGAAGATCACCCCGACCCCTGTAGTACTTACGTCAGACTTGAACAGCTCTCCTAAGGATGCTTTCAAATTCTGATTTGTTGTGCATATGTATGTATTACATGTTTATGTATTATATGATTTATGTGTTTTGTATTAGGTAAAACAATTAACATAATAATATATTGACACATTTTAATAATACTAAGAGTAAGAAAAAAGAAGTACTTGTGACTCGTTTGGAGAAAATATATAAATATGTTTTGGATGGGTTGGAGTCAATAAAAGGGGCTATTAGGTAACTATTTTTTATGTCAAGCTTTCAATTGTGTTTACAATCATCTTCAAGAGCTCCTAAAAAATACAAAATATCTTACAAAAGTGAAACTAAACTCACCAAATAAAATTAGTTTTGTTAATACAATTATACTGCTAAACATGTTTAAAAAACTATTTTAAAAAAATTAGATTGTCTAATGAATGTTTCTCTCTAGATTTTTGAATTTTGAAAAACTTTTTCAACGAAAACAATTGAATTTATAAATAAGTTAGAATAGCGACCAATTACAAATAAACCTCAATGTTTTACTTTTCGCGCCAAAGTTTCTGTTGATTTGGGTAGGTAGTGTAACCAAAGAATATAGAAACATTCAATTATTTGACGAAAAAAAAAAATAAATTAAAAATGGTCACAAAAGATGAAATTAGTGCCTGTTTTGAAGAACTCAATATAGCAGTAGTTGATGCTGTGTTAAATAAATGTAAGTACAATGCAATTCAATTGTAGGTTATAATCGTAACGATTGTTTTTGTAGGTTTAGAATTATGTGTTGCGTATAATCTTGAAGCAGAGGAATTTTGTGATCAATGGTATGTATTCACAGCCTCTAATTACAATGGGGCACTTCCAACAATCGAACTTGTGGAAAAGATGGAAAGGAAAGAGTGCCATAAAAAAGAACATAAATTAAATATCAGTAAACCCAACGATGAAATAATAGAAGAGAGGAAATTTTAAGAAGAATGCCAACTTACAATTTTCATTTTTGACAATTATATTGCCAAAAAATAAAATTTTGTTTAAAAAACTATTTTTTATTTAGTAATAAAAAAGAAGATTTATTCATCATTGATAGATATCTAAAAAATGTAACAAGTATATGGAAAATTAAATTAAAATGTGATATTTTATTGGTTTTATAAACGAAAGAGAAATAATATAATTATAAATTTTGCTTAGATTTTGAATTTCTGACCTTTTGTTTAAATATATATATATATATATATATATATATATATATATATATATATATATATATATATATATATACTATCAAAGAAATTTTTTGTTCTAAAAACGTTCTTTTACAAAACATACATATTTAAAAACACATATGTACAAACATTTAAAATTACGTTACAAAACAATTACAGAACATGTAGTCATAATATAAGATTTTGGTTATAAATATTCGTATCAGAAACAAAAAAATGGTTGTAAATTCATTAATACCAACTTAAAACGACAGAGCTTTAGATCTTAAAGTGATAACACTGTAAAGTTAATAGTATACCTACTAGATGCTGAACTTTGTGAAAAAGAGGGAGAGTCAAAAAGACTTCTGGTCAATTTGGGAGAGACATCCTTAATAAATGGAAGTGATACAAACGATATTTTAGGAATATTGTTAGACAGTGAATGAGAATCAGAGCTAACTTTCATAGCCCCTGTATTTTGGGTAGGGTTCACTTGTGTGTAGAGTATAACAGAGGATGTGTTAAAGATGATTTTTCTGAGTAAAGATTCGGGGTAAGAATTATCTAGGAACAATAATTGTAAAAGTATGTTGGGATTCTTTTTTCTAAAAATAGAGTTAGCTAGTTTACAAACTCTTGTGGTCATTTGTTTCACAAGATTAGTTTTCATGCTTGACTTGTGGTAAGAATGGTAGTTGAGATATCTCCCAGAGTTGCACTTTTTTCTATACCAATATATTGTAATGATGTTATCCAGTTCTCTGGTGAACATTGTGTCAAGAAAAGGAACAATGGTTTTGATCCGCTTTTTCAAGAGTAAATTGAATGTGGGGGTCATAGCTATTGAAAATGTCTAAGAGGTCAGTCTCTAAACCTAGTGGAAATGACATAATAATGTCATCAACATACTTTTTAATAAAGGGAACGTTAAAAGGAACAACCTGGAGAACAATATCCAACAGATCGTCCATTATATATGTAGCCGGAATTGGAGAGATACTGGCTCCCATAGGAGTGCCGAAAATTTGTTTATAATATTTGTTCTTAAAAGAAAAACAAGTGAAGTTAAACAAATCAATTGACAAATAAAACAAATTGATTTGAACACAAAAAAAAAGACTCTCGTCCTATAAAAGTGTTGTTGCTAAATTCTACACCCTCCCTAAATTCCATAAACCTACCTTAAGTATGAGACCTATAGTTTCCTCCATAGGCTCACCAACTGAACACATTGCAGTCTTTCTCACAAATATTGTGACTGAAGCTTGTGATTCAAATTATGATTATTATATTAAAGATTCTTTCCAAGTTGTCGAGTTGTTTAACAGAACTGTCTTACCACAAAATTATGTTCTCGTCAGTCTAGATGTGGTCTCCCTCTTCAGTAATGTTGACTTAAATACCGTTCTCCGATCTATTCATAAACACTGAAATACAATTTCTGCAGTATGTAGCATTAATTATGATATGTTTGTTGAGATGATAGAGTTTTTGGTTAACTCCACTTGTTTTTCTTTTAAGAACAAATATAAACAAATTTTCGGCACTCCTATGGGAGCCAGTATCTCTCCAATTCTGGCTACATATGTAATGGACGATCTGTTTGATATTGTTCTCCAGGTTGTTCCTTTTTACGTTCCCTTTATTAAAAAGTATGTTGATGACATTATTATGTCATGTCCACTAGATTTAGAAACTGACCTCTTAGACATTTTCAATAGCTATGACCCCCACATTCAATTTACTCTTGAAAAAGAGGATCAAAACCATTCTGTTCCTTTTTTTGACACAATGTTCACCAGAGAACTGGATAACATCATTACAATAGATTGGTATAGAAAAAAGTGCAACTCTGGGAGATATCTCAACTACCATTCTTACCACAAGTCAAGCATGAAAACTAATCTAGTGAAACAAATGACCACAAGAGTTTGTAAACTAGCTGACCCTGTTTTTAGAAAAAAGAATCTCAACATACTTTTACAATTATTGTTCCTAGATAATTCTTACCCCGAATCCTTACTCAGAAAAATCATCTTTAACACATCCTCTGTTATACTCAACACACAAGTGAATCATACCCAAAATACAGGGGCTATGAAAGTTAGCTCTGATTCTCATTCACTGTCTAACAATATTCCTAAAATATCGTTTGTATTACTTCGATTTATTAAGGATGTCTCTCCCAAATTGACCAGAATTTTTGCTCAATACTTACCGAATGTAAAAATTGCTTATAAAAGCACTTTAGTTGTGGGATCTTTATACAATTAATTGACAGACAAAGTTCCTAACTTAGATAAAAGTGATGTTGTATACAAATTTAGTTGTTTAGGCTGTGAAGGTTCTTATATAGGTCACACCTCCCAAAAAGTTTCCAGCCGTTTGACTCTTCACAAGGGTGACATTAGGTTACAGCCCGATAGATGTTCCATAGCCACACATGCTAACACAACAGGGCACTCTTTCGATTTTTCAAACGTAAAAATCCTATCCACGGAGAGCAATTATTCAAAAAGATTGTTTCTCCAGATGGCTTTCATTTTTCAAACCTACCACAATCCCACAAATCTACCAATAAAGGTAATTCATCGTCAACAGTATAAGTTTCATTATATATGAGTTATATAATATCTCTTCTACTTCAAAATAAGTCTTTTTGACTCTCGTTCTTTTTCAGAAAATTCAGCATCTAGTAGGTATACTATTAACTTTACAGTGTTATCATTTTAAGATCTACCCTCTGTCGTTTTAAGTTGGTATTAATGAATTTATAACCATTTGTTTTGTTTCTGATACGAATATTTATAACCAAAATCTTATATTATGACTAAATGTTCTGTAATTGTTTTGTAACGTAATTTTATTTAAATGTTTGTACATGTGTTTTTAAGTACTTTAAATGGGTGTTTTGTAAAGGAACGTTTTTAAAACAAAAAATTTCTTGGATAGTTTTCGCCATCATTTGTGGTATTCAGATGAGTTGTCCATTTCCATTTATAAACACCATGGCAACTAACCTCA